GAAGACATGAAATCGAGCAATGAATAAAATTATTATTAAATGTAATTTCATAAAAAATTACTTATCAATTTTTATTTAATACATTTTAAATTCTGTATCAAATCCATTTGAATATAATTCATATTTTGAATTGCAATTTTTTTTATATTTGTGGATTCAATAGTAAAAGATTATCTGTAACTCAATAGATGGGTATGTGATGTTATTTATGATTTGCGTTCTATTTGAAATAACAGATGTAATTAGAGCACTAATTGCCGTAAAGGATTACAAATTCAAAGAGGTTTTAAACACAAAAGCCCTCTTTAATGTTTAATAGTTTATTAAAAATTTCTTTGCCTTTTAATTTCAAATGCATTTAATTTATTTAGAGTTAATTAATTGTATATATGAGAGCAATTAACCGATTTAAATATTTTTTATAGTACTTCTGTGAGTTTTTGCTTTCTTTTTGTATTATAAAAGACATTCTTTGATAATATTCATTATAGTGATAAAAGTGTTCAATTTAAATGGCTAGGCTATTTCATTTGATTATGTGCATGTTCAGCTTAGTTAAAAACTAAGGTCTGGAATACGACGGATGTCGGTAGAGATACAAAGGCTTATGCGTGAAAATTTTATTGTCAACTATTTCAATTTACCTATATACCTATAAAGTAATATTAACATAATTTAACGGCACGAATTTAATGTTTTCAAAAATATTGTCAAAACTCTATAGTATGTTCATAATAATACTTAATAGTACTTGCTAATAAGATAGCATTCCTTTTCTGAGTGTATATGCGTTTATAAGTCTTTATAATTATCAGTCTATGTGTATGAATGAACTCTAAAATTTAGTTATAACTACTACTACTACGAAATGAGCACACCGAAATGAGCTGTCAATCTGAAAAATTACGGACTTATCTAAGTTCTTAGAACTGTCAGAATGGTTCGCCTTTATCTAACGGAAGAGTCGTTGCTTTTCGGCGTTAGTCCTATCCTGCCTTTTTAAGTCAATGTATGAAACTAACGTCATTATTTGCGACATACCTAACCTAACCTAACCTAACCTGACCTAACCAAACCTAACCTAATCTAACCTAACCTAACCTAACCTAACCTAACATAATATAAATCACTAACCCGAAACATTAAAAATAGTGCTGCTATAATTGAGCAAGAGCAATAATATTAATAATAGACTATTACTTAAAGTACTATGTAGTTCATATTTTTACTGATATAATATTTTACTAATATCTTATCAATACTACAAATTGTTATATTAAAGAAATTCTATAGAAAATATCATAAAGAAATTCTTTAAGTGTAATCAAATTTAAATCGTGAAATCATTTCCAGAAAATCACTGCGATAATCGGTCTTGGTAAACTACAAAACGTTTATTGAATGAATAAATATTAATAACAGATATGAATGCACTTATTCTGGCAGACAGTTGCGGATGTGGTATACGTATGGCGCAAAATCGACATAATTTCCGGTTCAAGTATACTGTTTAAATTTAGATGCTCATGAAATTCATAAAATCTGTAATAAAACTAACCGAGCAGAGAGCAGCAGAATAACATAAAGCAAGCTGTCATCAAGTGGAACCCACCATACAGATTATGAGCAAAGAAATGATGAACAGTTGAAAGCAGTGACTATGAATGGCATGACATTAGGTCAATTGGATACATTTAGATGTTAAGTATGACCATAACGAGTGTACATTTTGTATATGAATTTCATGCACAGATGTGTACATTGTTGTGTGCCCATCGATTATGGTATGCGCTTAAGGATTTAGTTGTCTTGTATTTGACTTGACTTAATAATGGTGGACAGAACTATATCGACTTAAATGTCTAGCATTTACTAAATAAACGTAATTGCAAGAAAGTAGCTTATGTATTATGGTTAGTAGTGCTCTCGTTTAATGTAATTTTAACTGAAGTTCATATTAACTGACAAGAATCTAATAAATATTTTAACTGCTACTTGTGTAGTATATAAGTTGTTGAGTTCATATTTTAGAAAGACGTTAGCATAGTTTAAATTATATGATACTTTTTACAGTCTTTATAAATATTATATTTAATATAGCTTTCATTAGTTTAATGATTAACTTATTTACTAACTACAGAAGATGTCAAGTCACTTTTCTGAAAAAATGTTCGTCCAATGCATTTGTATTTGATTGAAAATGACAATAATAAAAGGTAAGAAAGTCTGCTACATGCATTTCATGTTTATGTAAATATCTTACGATGCCTGCTGCTCCTGCTGCCATTCTGTATTTCAAAGATGCATAAAGTATTTTGCCAATACGTTCGCTGTAAACTGCATATGTTTCAAAGTTGGCATGCCAATGCATACGTGACATGGCACTTCCTCGACTTGGTTTTCTTAAATCCAAAATGCAGAAAGTGTACGTTTGACAGCATTTAACTTGCATTTTCAAATAAAACTTTTACTTAAATTGAAATTCTTAGTAAATTAGTTCTTAGAAAATGGAATATAAGAAATTTCAGATACTACTTTCTCTAGTTTATTTTTAGATATCTTTTAAGAGAGATAAAACTGCTTTTGAAGACAGTTCTTTAGTAAACTTTATTCCAAAATTAGAAAATTGAATTTAACTAACAGCATACTTAAAGGTTAATCCACACTAGTTACCTTCAACATTTTAAAACGTTAAGTTTTTCTTTCATATTACCGAAAAGTAATCATAATTAAATAATCTGTTAGCAGTCGACATTTGCAAAACTCAGTAGATTAATTTATTTAACATTACTCAATAACTCAGCACTTAAAAAATTATTAATAAATTATTAAGTAAATAGACTAAAATATATTTCAGTCTTAGTAGAGTACATGTGGAGATACTTTTTGCTTAAAGTTTATTTCTTTGTTATATTTGCTATAATACGTAAATAACACTAACAACAAATAAATTAAAACTAAGTAAACATAATTAACACTTAATGATGTCTTCTTTATTAAAATTAATTTAAGTTTCCTTAGGTGCAAAAATATTTCACCTTTAAAACTTGAAGTTAAGAAGAGAATTGTTAATTTTGTTTAAAAATCCGTTTTGCAGTTGACTGACGCCTTGCTGACTTGCTTTCGCAAGTTGATTTTACTACTTCATCCAACTTTTAACCAGGATATTAGTTTATGTGTAAGGTGTTAGACACATGAATATGGAAATATAACACCATAAATATTTATGCATATATATTGAAATTTATATAGTTATGCAGTGCACATATGCAGAACATTATGGCACAATACTCTAGTGAATATTTGCAGGCATTTAACTTATCATAAAATAACAAAATATTATTGACTCGTTGAAAGACAATAGAAGTATTTTTTCGTTTATGAAGTTATTCAAAGCCTACTAGTGCTAAATATCTAGTCCTAATTATAAACAAATCTAATAAAGATATTAGATATTATTCAATTTTTTTTTTTAAATTTACACAATTGCTTTCAAGACCTCATGTATTCATAGAGATTTTTCAACTGAAATTATTACTAATTATATAAATAATAGAATCTAAATTAATCAGCAAAATAGATGACCCTCTCAACAAATCTTCAGAGCTTCTAAATTATTTAACAAAATAGATAGTCTTCGCAATAATTATTAAGATCGTCTTAACTATTAAGCAAAATAGATGATCTTCCCAATAATTCTTTAGCTAGGCTTAATAGAATTTGAACGCAGAGGGAAAATTTTCCGATATCCTTTCTGTAATGACATAAACAAAACGAAATATTACCTGGCTATTTACCAGGTTTTCCCAGTGTGAATTAAATGAGGGTCACTATGAGGAGGGAATAAAGCTGCAAACTATTACCAACTCTCTTAAACCACAATTCGCAATTTCTTAAAACTTAATCTAAGCTTAATCAGCAATGTAATCAACAGCTAAGTTATGTATGGCAAGCAAAAACTGGGTTCTGGGCGTTAATCACGTTAGAATAACAAAAACTACATGAAAAGTAAGAGAATATTAGACCGTGATCTCTATTATCATCTTAAATCTTTAATAGAAAATAATATGCAATATTTAAGTGTTGAGTGTTATATGATTTGGTAGAGTCGATTGCTAGTACAAAATATATATCGTGATTGCAGTGCTCTTTTTAGTGTGGAATCAATACTCCGTTATATTAGTATTTCTATTCATATTTCTATTTTCGCTTCCACTGTGAAGTATAAGCACTGTTACAAAGAATAGGGCAGTAGTACTAATCACATGTTTCTATTTCTTGCGCGTTCCTAAATGATGTTGTACCAATCCTGCTATCATTTATTCATATGTTATGTCAAAACTCTCTTTAAATATAACTGATATTGAGTCTTAACAAAAAAATACTTAAATATAGTCATACGTTGTAAAAGAAAATAAATTTTTAGACCATAATCAATTTCTCATCTCACTAAACGGCATATCAAAAATGGAGTCTTCATTAAGCACGGGAGGGTAAAGAGTTCTTACTAATTACTGAACATATTCCTGTGATTTGAGAAATCGCTTGAAAAAAAATTGGGTGCTTTCAGTATTGTTGTCTACTTAATTTTGTGCAATAAATATTTATTGGTAGGCAATAGCTTCACTACTTAGGTGGAGTTACGATCCATTTACATAAACTCTGGAACAAGCAACGTCACACTGTTACAATTAATAAAAAACTGAAATGTACATAAAAAAGACATGGTCTCTAAATATCTTGGTCTCTAACAATACCAATAATAGATGCAAGAAGCATCAGAAAACCTTCTGATTAATTTTCAATTACATCAATATCTGATTCCATTCCTTATTTATTACTTAATATTTGCATTTTATTTATAAGGAAATAAAAAAATTTTTCATAAAATAAAAATTAATGAATTAAATAATTTCCGTTGAATAAATTGATGTTTTCACAGATATACTTTAAAATATCATAAATTTATAAATAATAATAATCCACTCTAGCAATTGCTATGGTTTCCATCAACTTTTGTGGAAAGGTTTAATGATTTACATGCATGAGAAACCGTGCAGAAATACTCACTTATTAAAACCTAAAACAGCTCATATCGTCGCAAAAAATTATTGATATATAAATTTGAATAGAGAAAACATATTTATTTTTTCTTTTCACGCTTTGCTTGAATATTTAACAGAATTTTTACGAATTCCAGCAATTTGAATTTTCGTTGAAATTTTCAGCAGCGATTTTGCTGGGGTCGTTCCATGTAGGAGTGCTTTCATTGAAAAATTAGCATATTAAATGTGATCCAAGGTTCACAATTTCGGAGCTACTCACCAAACGCGTACTCACAAACTTTACTTACACATATTTTTTACACTGGTTTTATTTTGTTTTATATAATTTTACATATATAAGCAATAATCCTTAGATACTCACACGGTTACGCGTATAACTCAACAAGAGCATTGTATATAATGATGATGTTATTTTGAAGGTACATTATTTTTTACAGTGTTCCTTTTCTTTTATTGTTTAATACGTTTCAAGGTGCTTACAACTTAAATTTTCATGAAAAGTAAGAAAATGGTCGTGTTTACACAGGAAACGTGTCTCCAATCTTAGGTGATATACTTGCGTTTTCCACATTGTGGATGTTTATGAAAATACATGACCTTGAAAGTGAAAAATCTTGTCGCTGGGAAGAATAGTTAGTTTGGATTTTTTCTTTGGTTGCTATGTTCAAGGACCAGAACCATTTTTTTGACAAATAGAAGTTCAAGCTAAAAATATAGAAAAATATTTCTTTTTAATTAATATTTTTCGTGGAATTATTAAAGTAGATACAAAAAATATAAATATTATTAACAAAATTTTTAGAATTACAAAGAATATTGCCAAATTAATTTCAGTAAATTTAATTTGTATTCATTTAATTCAGCAGGAATCAATATGAATCACTTTTATATACATTGCTGAGGAAAAAGATACACGGGGCCATATCTGGAGAGTACGGTGCTTGGTTGATGATATTGGTGGAGTTTTTGGTCAAAAACTGCGACACAACCAACGCTGTGTGAGCCGTTGCGTTATCGTGGTTTAAAATCCACGAGTTTTCCTTCCATAAATCTGGCCTCTTTTTGCGAATGACCTCACGCAAACGACGCACAATGACAAAAAAAATACTCCTTATTGATCGTTTGAAGATCCGGGAGAAATTCATAGTGCACCACATAAGGAATATCGAAGATAACAGTCAGCATAATCTTGATTTTGGACCGACTTTGGCGTTCTCTTTTCGGTTTCGCCTAACCTTCGAAGCACCATTCGGTCAATTGTTGTTTGGTGAGCATGTCAAATTCATAGACCCATGTCTCATCACCAGTTATGATGCGTTCGATAAATGTGGGGTCACTATCTGCGTTGGAAATCATCTCTTTGGCCACATCACAACGACGAAAACGAAATTTAGCTAAAAATCGCCACACGAAAATTTTTCGACTTCCTTGTATAGACGCCAAACAAAAACTAATAGTACGATATGCGTTAAACTTTGACGAATGTGTATAATAGCATTGCCAGCGTGAAAATAAAAAAAAAAATACCGATTGGATAAGCGCGGGAATTCAAAAAAAGAACGAATAAGTTCTTTATTGATCGCAAGGTACTTTTTTAGACGCTTATTTAAAATATTGCTTTGCTAGTAATGCGTGTATGTAACCGGGTCTTCTATCATAAGCAAGCAGTTAAAATTTGCCATTTACTTTTACATAATCCTTTATTTGATCAAATTTATCGAACTATGGAATACAGAGAGAAATAACATTAAACTGATTCTAATGTTATTGTTTTAAGCATTAGTAGTATTAGGTTTGCTAAAAATGAATGACAAATTAAAACAAAATATAAATTCCAGAATAATCAAATGCAATGAAAACAACCAAAAGATACATTTCTTAAAAGCACATCTTATTACAAAAAAACATTAAAACAGATATAATCTCCATTTTTAGAATCAATAATAACTGTACTATATAAGTGTGTGGGAAAGAATGCTACCAATAAAGTCGATATTTTGTGTTGGCTACTAACCAAACAGTAGATAAGGCTGGAAGACAGAACGAAATCAATACAACAGTAATAAACAAAAACATTTTTTGAAAAATCTAGAAAACATTCCTAACAGAGGAAAAATTCTTCAATGGTCAAGAATTTATTGTATTAAAAGCAAGTTACTACTCAAATAGTAAATGTTTTGCCATACTTAAGGCTTGTTTCGAGAATATCTGTTATAGAACAATTCTTAATTAGCGTAGGATAAATGCTATTTTTAATATAAGACGTGGAAAATAATTAATTTAAGCGCATGTTGGTATGAAAAAAATGAAACCTATATATTCGAATACTTATTGCTTCAAATACTTATAGTCAGAACTGGCCATTGCAAGTAAGTCAAATAAGTGC